AGATGCAACTTGATGCATGGCAAAATAGAGTTGGGCTTTTCCATGCAGTAGTCTTACCTAGTCTCCACAATCTTACTTTGGGGTGTTTCTTCATATGAATATAAAAAAAAAGAGTGTGTGTGTGGGAGGGGGGGGGGGAGATCCTCAAATAATTTTTTGGTGAGTTGTTTGGGTGGCGTAATTTGTCTATTATGGAAATCTCTGCAGATTGAGGACATGTGTCGTCGCACCAAGGCATCTGCAATTCCAGTTGTACCTGATTCAAAAGGTTAGTTTACTGAAGTAAATTGTTATGATTTTTAAGAGAGTACAGCATTTAAGCGGGACATTCTGCTGTGCGATCATGAGTGTTTTCACACTTGTCAAAATGATATATTTGTTAATTTAATGATATTGTTGTATATGGTTTGATTGTTGCTATGTATAAAGAAATTGTACACATTGTTTTTTTCTGATTTTTTCATCATTCATTTTTCATGCTTTTTGTTAAGTATCTTCTTTGTATTATCTCAAGAATCATGTATTGGCTACCTAAACCTAGCTATGTACACATCAAACATTTGTTCTAAATATTGCATTTTCTTTGATCTTATTTACTCATCTTTGCTTTTATAGTTTTCCTATTTGGTTTATTGGTCTACTTTCTAATTCAGAAATATGCAGGGACTGAATCAAATCCATTCTCTCTCGACGCCCTTGCTGTTTTCATATTCCGAGTGCTTAACCGTTCTAATCACCCAGTAATAATCCATTAAGCTACTCACATCTTATCTTGCGCTATTCCACTGGCTTTATTCTCTTAAGTGGAACTAATCGTGCTGGTTTCTGTTTGTTCCTTCGTATTTTTAAGGGAAATCTTGACAAGTCATCTCCAAGTGCTGGCTACGTGTTGTTAATGTTCTACCATCTATACGATGGCAAGGTACTGTTTCTGTTTGGAGTTTTAGTCATATACTTGTCTCTCTTTTAAATATTTTTCTCATGACGCTCGTTTCCTACAATCTCCAGAATCGCACGGAGTTTGAGGCTGAGCTAATAGACCGTTTTGGTTCGCTTGTGAAGATGCCCTTATTGAAACCCAATAGGTCTGTGATATATTTATAAGATCTCACTGTAACTTAATTATGTCTATGCTTAAGCAATCCTGTTGTTACTTTTGTTTTGAGTTTTATCGAACCTAATGCTCTGGACTATTCATAAGTATTATGTATATATGAAGTACTATTTTCTTTCAAGAATGAAATCAGGATTTAATTTGTGATATTGTTACAATCTATTAAAATGACAGGTGATGATGGAAAATTAATAATTATAGTAGAAAGTAACATTTACGTTTTGCCCTCTTGAAGTCCAAAAGCTCTTTTTCCTTGTTAGCAACATGAGTGGCGTGTTTATATCCTATTATCTTGGTCTTTGCTGAGACTCTCCGCTTGTTCTGTTTCTTTCTGCATGTGAAGAGCTCCTTTGCCTGAATCTGTAAGGTCTACTTTGGAGGAAGGATTAGATCTGTACAAGCTTCATACGAGGTGGCATGGGAGGTGGTCACTGCCCCATTTGTGTACTATTTATCATTTCGGTTTCCGATGAAAAAATATTTAATCATTGGTTATATGCATTATTTTACTTTTCCGTCATTACCTATATCTGCGAACAATTGAGTCCTCCGATGTAAGGGTTGGATTGCGTCTGTTTCTACTGGATTTAATTTGACTTTGCTTCTTTATCTTTTCTGTAGATTGGAATCCAGCAAAGGCACGTATTGTAAGGAGTGGGCTAAATGGGAGACTCAATTGCGTGAGACTTTGCTTCGAAATGTTGAATATCTCAATTCTATTCAGGTCAGTTTTACGGCTGTTGATAAATAGGTGAATTTCATTGTCTTTTATGTACCATAGTCTTACTTTGATGTCATAACTAAGCTTCAACTCTTAGTTAAGGTAATTTAGCAAAAGTAGCCACGTTATGGAAAATATTTAAGCTTCCCTTTTATGGCCAAAAACCGTATGTCCGGGGTCTAGGATTTCAGCCTCTAATTTTAGGCATAATTGTAAGGAATGAGGATCGCTCTCTACTTTTTATTGGAGAATTACTGGAAATATTAGTTCATTAAGTAGCAGTTCCACATATGCCTGTCAAACTTCACGTTCTGATCTCTGCACAATTACATGACGCCATGACGGTATTAGATAAGTAAATTACCGCAAAATACTGCCACTGAAATTCACCAACTGACTTGTAATGTCAAATTTACTACCAGTTTTGCCAATGGTAAAGTGGAGTATCTATCTCTATATCTTTAACATTAATTCCTTTTCATATTCCAAATGAGGAAAAGATTCAATTTTTGTCTCGTTAGTTGTTACCTAGTAGTGGTAATTCGTGTACGCTGTATTTCCAGGTCCCGTTTGAATCTTCTGTAGAAAATGTTCTCAAACAACTTAAAGCAATTGCTAAGGGAGAATATACAGCACCACCTAGTTCTGAAAAACGGAGCTTCGGTACCATTGTCTATGCCGCTGTCGATCTGCCAGTTTCAGAAATCCTAGATCAGCTTCATAACGTAAGTCAACTTTCTGTCAATGTGTTTCTATCAGCATTGTTATTCTAATTCATAAGTGCTTTCCTTTCAAATTAAATATCTAGCTTTACATAGATTCCGGATTTGATTTTCCTTTTTCATTAATCATGGCTGAGACAGTTAGGTGAGAAGGATCCTAGAATCGAAGGTTTCCTCAAGGACAAGAATTTGAAAAGCAGCCTTACAAAAGCCCATTTGACCCTCGCTCACAAGAGAAGTCACGGTGTAACTGCTGTAGCCAATTACGGTCCATATGTCCACCAAAACGTACCAATCGATATGCGTGCAATATTATTCTCGGATAAAACTGCAGCATTTGAAGCTGAACCTGGTGTAGTTGAAGGTGAGAAGTTGACTTCGAAAAACGAATGGCCACATGTCACATTATGGACTGCTCAAGGAGTTCAAGCCAGAGATGCAAATACGTTGCCTAATTTACTTGCTGAAGGAAAGGCTACTCGTGTCGAGATCAACCCGCCTATCACAATAACTGGAGTTTTAAAGTTCTTTTGAATGTTGTTTTGGTGGGGTTAGCTTTTCTCATAATTTGGGTTTTAAAATTCGAAGTTGAATTGTCGAGGGGTGTAATAATCTGAACAATACTGCAAGTTTGGAGAATAGTTTTGTAGCATAGGTTTTCCACTCCGATAACGAAAATGATGATGATGAATACAATGATACGAATAAAGAGTGAAAATAAATTATTGTTTGCTAATTTCAGTTTTGTTTCATATTAATGAATGATGGAGCATAATCCGAACCCTGATTCCACTCGATCGTCGGGGAGTTCATCCGGAGCGGGATCTAGGGCCACGGCGATGAACAAATGACCCAACAATATTAAAGAGAGAGAGAATTCAAGAGAAAGGGTAAATGTGTTTATTGATACTGAATCATAACCCTAATAGGGTGTTTCATGTTCGTTTAGATTGAAGAGAATTACACATAGCTATTTCCTAATTTAAGATCTCTTCATTCGTCCGACATTTACATTGATTGGTTAATTATCGATCCTAATTTACATACTTTCTTTATCTACTTATGAGAATTATACGAAAAATCCTCCTCTAACGGCTATTCTTCTAAGCAAGGGTAATTGACAATCAAGAAAGGAACATCGTTTAGAGCTATAAGTGAAAACACACCAAACGTTTTTGTTCCAATTGGTTTGCATTTCAACAGAAGAATCCAAATTTGAGATTTTAATAATTTCACATAAAATTAATTCAAAATTCATGAAGACTCAGAGAAATAGTTGAAGTTAAGAATTTAACATCCAAACATATTCAATAAATACGTAATATGAATATGGAATTCTTAGCATCAATTCGTCGAATCTAGATATAAGATGAACTCTAAATCCACCAGAATGATCACATTAACACAACCTATAAAAGCCAATATCCATAACCAATTAAAAGCAGTTCTACATTTCCAGCAGATATGTGATATCAAGGTAAACTGCTCCAGTTTCTAACCCAATCAGATAAAGTAGAAACATTCGTATCTATATCATCGATGTTGTCGCTTTTTAACGCCACCACAATATCTTCTTTATAACTGTCTCTGGCCTCCTCCAACAGAACCTGAAATATCTCACATTCAATATTGTTCGACAGCTTTTTCCCTTCATAACCCCTGCCCAGAGGAAAAGACGGAACATAAGAGAGGTGAGCAAACAAGTTGCAATTAAAATACAAGCAAAAAAAACACAGAAAAAACAATCGAAGCAAAACACAGGAAAAAAAACAATTAGACAGATGTGGAAATATGTTACCTCTTAGTTAGCCGGTCATATAATACAGAGTTGTCAGTTTGGAGCACCACTACATAATCGAACCACCGTTCCGGAAAAAAGTCACAACCATGGTGATCCACAATGTTTCCACCTTGTTCCATCAAGTCTTCAAGCTCGTCACATACCTGCGAAATAGGACGAAACTCATCATTCATGTGACAATATATAGAAACGAAGAGAAAGTAGAAAGGAAGTTTTTTAAATATTATCCACATCATCTGACAGAAGTTTATTTTTGTCAAAATTATTTGTAGATTTGACACACTGAATAAGTTAGTTACCAAGTTCCATTCATGTAATAGCAATTCCGCGGAGACGATCATAAACGAAGTATGAAAAAAGTTCCATTATCCATATCTGATGTACTTAAGTTCGGAAACATGTGGTAGGGAGAGTTCCTAAAAAAATCCTACATTGCGACATTCGGAGCACTATGTAGTCCCGCAAATGCTCTCAATGAAGGTCTCTAATCCGAAAACAGAAAACATACATTCCACTCTTAATTGTGTATATCTATGTTTTTTTTACTTTCTGAGTTCCAACTGCAAGGTTCATTTCCATTCGGCAAAATGCAATTTCGGGGCCCACGGGAATTATCTTAGCTTCGGCACGTAATTCTAAAACTATTTCACTCGGAATGCATTCATTATCATCTCAGATTATCCAAATCAAGCAATCTCTTACTAATGAAAAAAAAAAAAAAAAAAACTAGAGCTTCAACTAATCCAAAGTATATAGTTCCGGAAATTCTGCCCCCGAATCAAGTTCACCAATCGAAAAAATCGGTCTGCTTAATTAAAACAATTTGCTCCCAAAACAAAAATCAAAAATCAATCACGTATTATTTCCATTAATCACAGAAACATAAGACTTAAAAGGAACTTACAAGGTCTTCGTTAATGATATAACAATCGAACTCATCGTCCCAGCCATCGTGGAGGTTCTTCTCCTTAACCAAATCGCCGATGTTGATATGCCGGAGACTGGCCGCTTCCGCCAGAGCCACAGACGTCGTCGATTTTCCTGTCCCCGGCGTTCCCGTAATCAGTATGTTCGGCCTCTCTCTCTTCTTCCTTCCACCGCCATTCTGCGCCATTTCTTTGCGCCCTGTTTGAGATTGTGATTGTGAAATGTTAATTGTTTGAGATAGCGATAACGGCTGATTAGGGTTTCGAACAAGTGACTGTGTACAAGATTTGGGGTTTTTCGCACTTTCACTTTCTTCTTCTTTTTAATCAGAGTAGCGACTTCAAATACACGTGGCTGCGTTTGATAGGTTTATTTAAATGTTGAGAGTAATTTGAGCATTTAATAATCATTTTTCTTTTTTATTACCTACAATTTCAGCATATTATTAGAATTTTTAATATTCATATTGCAACCTGAAATGAATTTGTATATTTTTTTTTGGGACCTTTGTTGTGATAGAAGAATATTTTTCAGGACTTTCTTGATACAATTTTTAACACATAAATCTTTCAGTATTTTTTCATAATTTTTAAAATGATCCACGTAATTAGTAAAATAAAAAAATTACAAACTACGGGGCGCCGGATGTAATTTCTTAAAAAGAAGGGTTAGTTTTGTAATTACACTTTACCTCAGGGTGGTGGTTGTAATTCACCCTTTGTATTTAATGTAGATATAAAAATTACAAAACCTGCTTAAATCAATATTAAATCAAAACATTGCACAAATAAATACTAGACCTCTACAGCACCTATTTATGTACAACATCAATATGTGAAGTCTTCAAATAAGTCAGAAATAATTAATAAATGAAGAATGCATAAAAGCTGAAGCAAAATCGAGTTTTGGGAATGGTTGGTTTTACTCTTGAGATGGCTCGGGGGGGATAACTTCTTCACTCTTTGGTGACACTTCGGAATTCGGGTTGGTTGGACATATAGAAGCGAATTTACAAAACCTGCATTTCCAGCGCTCCTCCATTGGAGGGAAACTCGCTTCTCTCTTTCCCTGCCAAAACTCGAGACATGATTTTATTTGATCCGTTAGCCAATCGTGCTCATAAGCAAACTCATCTTCGCCTAGTAAAGTTTGATCTTCCTGTAATTCATATCTGTGTAACAAACGACAAATTTATATGTGCGTTACGCAAATGTACTTAGAAGTTAGAACAAAGTACAGATTCCACAAACATGCAACTATCCACTATATATATAATCCGAAAATGGAATTTAATTGTAACGAACAAGACATTTTCTTGAAAGAATCAATTATGCTAATAAGTCCTGGAAAATACGATACAGAACAGATAAACCCCGGTATATTCTCTCATATTATTTTTGGAATTTATTAGAATGTCAAAAGAATTTCCAAAGCTATTTCGAGTTCCAGTTCATTGTTCAAGCTTACCTCAACAGTAGCCGATCGTGAGCCTTAGGCAACAATGAACAACTATTTAGAAAATACCGAACCACATCACTGAGAGTCTGCATGATTAAACAAAACAAATATCAAATCAATGCAAGCATAAGGAGGAGAACAACTGCACAAATATGCAAATTCTTCTTACGACTTCTTTTTTTCGTAATGTGTCTTGTTAATAACATTTTACTTTAAGCACAGGCATAAGCGATAGGTAAATGAGATCTGTTATTCAACAAAATGTTTACCTCTGAAGGAAAACCTGATTTTGCTGTACTCTCTCTGATTTCTTGATTTAAAATTTGATGGGGATTCAACGAAAAGAATTCATAGAACTTTTGGGATGGAAATCTGTCAGCAATCAAACTGTCCCACATATTCTTGTAGCACATCAACTGAAGCCTAGCAAAACGGGTTTTGAAATGACTTAGAAAGAGGGGAAAGGGGGCAAAAATGAAATTCACTACACCAATTGACACGAGCGACCTTATACCTTCCATTTCGCCTTTGTGGTTCACTGGGAAGTGTTGCTCGCACACGAGTTTTTGTGTCAACTAATATTGGAAATCTTGTGGACTCAGAAACAGGCATCCGTATTTCATCTATTATGCCCACCGTCCATACACCTTCTATAAAGCCGACTCTGAAAGCAAATTTACATAATATCCACAAAATTGTCAGAATAAATGAAGTGAAGGGTAGTTGAGTACATAAGGATGCAGCTAACAAAGCTAACAGAATAAACATAAGAATTCAGCTTAGATTTGCAAAATAATTCCACGAGCAATCATAAGTACAAATTTGTACTGAATATATCAATCGTCATCAAGACATCAATACACGGCACATGACTATACCAATATATTTAGCCACATGCAGTCAATAATACTACTTTGCTAAGGTTAGACGAATAATATGATTTCGTCAGCATTCACATTCCATTATACAGAACTGCAGCTACCCACATATTTGATACAACGTAACCCTTTGGTTTTTTTATGAAAAAAAGGAGTGAAAGTTTGCTAAACATGAACTCAAGTAAAAAAATTTGCTAATTAAAAGCAAAAAACAGTATACAGGTATTCATGCTCCAGGATTCTGGTCCGGGAACTGTTGTTCAACAATAGAACATTGAGTTCTAGCAGTAATTCCACAAAATAGACTCATTCAGAGAAAATTACTCTATTGTCATGGATGAGAAACATTAATCATTGGATACTGAAGTTAGTAAAATTTTCTCGAGAGAAATGCCCGGGACAGGGGGGCAGTACTCTATTTAATGCATGAGTCTATGACGATGAGGTGTTAACTCATGTAACTTCATCCTTTCAATGATTTAAAAAAATTAACATCATAATTATTTAGTTGCAAACACATGTTCAGAAAGAAAAGAAAAATACAAAAAACTTACAAAGGCAACTCGCGTGTTAATCCATCAAATATCAGTTGATTTGCTCCAACAATAAAATTCATAAATTTAATCGCCCATACATCTTCAGCTGATTCAGCCTGAACTTTAACCCTTTTGATCACCTGCTCATATTCATTAAAGGAGTCACAAATACTACCAAAACAACATGCAGGAGAAGTTGCAGACAACCTTGAACACTCTCAGCCTGATATTTGCAGAGATGACTGTCAAATGTATTCGAGTAAGAACTCAAAGAAAGGAAATATAGATCCAAATGTAAAATTAAGGAGCAGCAGCAACAAGATGATGAATCAATATAACGATAGACTGATAAACGACTACGCAACAAGTTACAAACACCCAAAAAATCACATTGTTTATGTCAGTCAATTCCGTGAAACGATTTAACATCATGAGTTCAGTTTTTGCAACATTTCTAGTGCCAATAAAAACAGGCTACATACAGGATCTACGACGATATTCAAAAACTATCATGCATAACATTTTTGAAAAAAGAAATAATTTTTAAAACATACATTCTTATTTCCTGGATCAATAGATCAACATAATTCAAAAAAAAATCGTATACCTCTTCTTCAAGTACTGCATGGCGTGCACTACCTGCTTGCATAGCTTTCGTCTTTTTAGGTTTACCATAGAGTAGAACATACTCCATTTGTTTTTCACACCATTCCTAGATAAAGTGAAAATATTTCAGGGAAGGGAAAATATTTTAAAATAATAATAAATTTCAAAATGATTTCAACAAAGATAAAAGTGTCAATTGGCAACTCTCTAACACAACTGTAACAACAAAATGGTTAAAAAGATTAAGAAAAATATATATACAGACGGAAAGGAAAAAGTTACGGTACAGTGGCGGTAAAATCGGTGACGGATAGACCTCTTGCCTTCCGGTACTGATGCAGAAAAGACACAATTCCTTTGTTCTTCTTATTCTTCTGCGGACTACCGGATCCAACAACCCGACCCGAGTCCTCGATATCCGTAGATCGGGTCGCAGTGCAGGAAGACAACCCGCGCTTGGACAATAGAGTAATTGAGCGAATTGACCTGTAATTCCGGTGGAATTGAGCAGCAGGTGCGGCAATGGCGGCGGCCGCGGCGGTGAGGGCGGCTTCGATGAGTGTCATTTCCTCTTCGGTAACGATCTCAATTGGAATTTTGGGGTTTTTATCATCAGAAACGGTGGTGGTGGAGGTGGTGGGAGAGGAGGGGGAGTGGCTCATGATTGCGGAAGCGGCGGCGACGGGATACACACACGTGCGGCAGTGGCCGTCGGGAGCGGCGTGTCCGGTGGGGAAGGGGAGTGATCTCATGTGAGGGAGGGTGGAGAAAATGGTTATGTACAAGTTTTGATGCGTGGGGTACAAACGGTCTGATTTTCTGGGTCACCTCAATTTCAATTTTGAATGACCGTTGGATAAAATGTTGAGTATTTCAGACTTCTTTTTTTAGCTAGCTTTAGTTGCAAGCTTTTCAAACTCTAATTAATTATTTATATTTTATTGTTTTTAAATACTTAGATATAAAATGTAGTGTACATAAATAATATCCTATTATATGATTTACATGAAATATAACAATTAGATAATTCAACCTTCAATATGGCTCTAGTTAGATTAGTTATAATTAATTGGATATTTCAACCTTACTAGGATGATTGGTTTATTGGTTAGTCCAATAATTATAGAGAAATGGCTAATCTTTATTAAATATGGCTAATTATCAAATTATTTATTTGATATCCCAATACAATTTAATTTTAATGAGATTATCTAACTTTATCTTAGCTTCTGGAACCAAACAAGCCATTAAAACATGTGAATTTTAGTTCTCGTTGGAGATGCTCTTATAACGTTTGGCCAACCTATTTTGCATCATATATTTTCGAAAATGTTCGCAATTTTATTTAATTGTCATATATAATTGATATTACTTACGTTGCAATCTAGAAAAACATCGAAACAAAAAATTATTACCTTCTCTATTTTTTTATTTTTTATTTCTTTTGACAAAGAAACCCGTAACCACTGATGTGCAGTGGGTAAATCTCATTCTCATGCAGTAGCCCTCAAACCTATTGTGAATTAGATTTGGCAAGCCATTTGTGACGAAGATTTAGCGATAACGTATTAATACGAGAAATCAATAATCTATGAGCGCAAAGTATATATAACCCTTTTTATTATTCCTTATGCCATAACATATAGATAATAGAATGTTGGTGATTTTATTTATTGAAACAAGAATCAACATTTGTATATAAACATCCGAAAACCCGAGAGTTACCTATAATATACATGTATATGTATTTTATATGGCGGCGGATTCATGCAAGCCCATTTTTTTATTAGTTAAAATCCGAAAATCAATGACCTTGTCTCAATGCCCCAGGGACTCCTATTATCTCTCATCTAAAATCTCAAAATTGTAATTAATATTTAATATTTACCATAAACTCAAAGAAAGGCCAAGAATTCATGCATGGCCTTACAACTTAAACTCCCAATTCTTGCACCCACATAACACAACCTTAAAAAAAGGTAAAGTACACACATTTTCTTGGAAGTGAAGTAAATATGGTGAGTACTAGAATTTGGTCTCTATGTGTGCTATTGGTGGTGGTTTGCTGTTCACATGCAGCAGCTGAAGAAGAAGGTTGGCGGCTGGGGGAAGAAGGAGGTGCCGCCGGAGAAGAGGGCGGCGGCAGCAGCAGCAGCAAGGGGAAGTGGTTCGTGTTGCAGGACTCGAAACACGTGGTGAAAACTGATGCTGGAGATATGAGGGTGGTTGGGGGTTTTGGAAGCAAATTTATGACAAGCCCGATGCATGTCGGGTTCATTACTATGGAACTGAGAACCCTTTTCATCCCTCAGTACGTACCTCGATTCCAGCCTCATTCTCTTCGTTAACCAAGGTCATTTTCGTCATTCCTATCTATAATATATATATGTGTGTGCGCGCGCAATACTTATCTTGGATTGGATCAATGGACTATAGGGGAAGCAAGAGTTGGGCATATATACAAAGATGAACTTGTGGAGAGGAGTTTGAAGGTGGGAGATATCTATAGAATCGAAGCAGGCTCGGCTTTTTATATGATCAATAGAGCAGAGGGGGAAAAGCTGCATGTAATCTGCAGCATTGATGCATCAGAGTCTCTTCAATATTGGCACACCGTCCAGGTAAAAAAAAAAAAATTAAATGTCTTACTTTCGGATTTCAACGAAACGTTGTTTGGATGTCAGTCTTTCTTCGTTGCTGGTGGAACGTATCCAGCTTCGGTTCTTTCGGGCTTCGATCACTCGACGTTATCAGCTGCATTCAATGTAAGTGAAACAAATTCAATTCACTTCTCATCACTCGAACACTATCAAATTATCATCTTTGATTTCTCGGCAGGTTTCAGAAGCGGAACTAGGCATAATGCTGACGAAGCAGCACAACGGTCGGATCATATACTTGTCATCGAACGACTCACGTTCACCTTGTTTGTGGTCGAAATTCTCCGAAATGGAGCATCATCAGAAACTAACACATATGAGGAGAATTGTCCATGTAACTGGAGCAGAGGATATCGAACACATGGAAGAAGAACAACCAATAGTAGCATGGTCTATCAGAAAACTCCTGTTCTCCGTTTTCGGAAAAGTGGACAACAAAAAAATGGAAAGCAAAAAGCCACATTCTTACAACATCTACGATAGAACGGGTTGGAGCACTGCGTTGAACGGGTCCCACTATTCGCCCCTTAAACATGAAGATCTCGGTGTTTATCTTGTCAATCTATCTGCGGTATGGTCCATTAATTTCACATATCTCATGAACATGCGTCTGTTTTTTCATATTAATCACGGGCCTGTCGAAGAATTCCAATATACTCGAATATAGATCACATATTTGCTAAATGACTTCTATTTTTTTTTTTATTATTATATTCAAGGCTCAAATCCACTAAGAACTCGTTTGGGAATAAGAATCGAACTTGATAGACAATATAATCAAGATTTACCAAATATTTGGGGTTTAGGTTTGGAACATGTGACTAAAAAGGGGCCTCGAATTTAATCAAGCATGTAGAGTCCAACCGCAACACCTACTATTACACAATCCTACCGTATACAAGGATTATATAAACATAAATACCAAACATGAGATAGCTAGCTACATTTTACGTTATCATCGCCAATGTAATCATATTCAACGCAATCAATCTAATCAACTTTCTCAAACGAGTCCTAATACTATATCGATTTTTGAACTAGATAAACAGTACAAAATCTTATTAAAATTGTATTCGGGCCTAACAGGATAACTAAAAAAGCCCGTATTAGTGCAAAATTGTTGAATGTGCAATCTAAGAAAATGCACCTGTTTGATAAAATTGCAGGGATCGATGATGGCACCACACATTAATCCAAGAGCAACCGAATACGGGATAGTATTGAGAGGATCCGGCACTATCCAAACCGTGCACCCGAACGGAACCCTAGCCATGAATGCGCAGGTGACGGAGGGCGACGTTTTCTGGATACCGCGATACTTCCCCTTCTGCCAGATCGCATCCAGATCCGGCCCGTTTGAGTTCTTCGGGTTCACCACATCGGCCCGAAACAACAGGCCTCAGTTCCTCGCCGGAGCGAACTCGCTGCTCCACGTTATGAGAGGGCCCGAGTTCGAAGCTGGATTCGGGCTGACCGAGGACGGGCTGAATGAGATCCTGAACGCGCAGCGGGAGTCGATTATCTTGCCCGCGGCGGCGGAAGGAGGTCCGACGGAAGAGGTGGTCGGAAACTAATTAGCTTAGGCAGTGATTCGGTGCATGTGTTCGATTAGCGGGCATTTTTTATTTTGATTTTGATTTTGATTTTGATTTTGATTGTTGAGGTGATCTTCATTAAGTAATAAATGTGGAGTTTGTTTGCATACAAATTCGAAATCATGATCATCGTTCGTCTTTGGACTTGCAAATTCTAGTTCACGTCATGCAAGCTAAGCTAAGCACTCGACTATATCTCCACCAATTATCGTCTAATTGCCGATTCTATCGATCTCCGGAGACCTTTTGTTGGATTATTTTATATTTGCAGTCTTGAATTTATTATAACACAGATAAAAGTGTTATATGATATTAGCACTTTTGTTATTTAGTTTAGCTAATAGCGCTTTTACATTTTACACGTGTAAAATCGGGTATATATATACCAACTCTTTGTGACCGTTGTAATTAATTCATTTTTTAATAAAAATTAGTTTTCTTCTCTTCTCTCTCTCTAACAAACTTTCCCTCTCTCTCCCTTCTGCAACCATGGAGTTTTTCACCTCCATGTGAATTCTTTCAATCAACATGGTATCAGTTTGAATTTCTCCGTTTCTTCTTCGTTTCCGCTCTGTTCTGTGCGATTGCGTCCGTCAATTTCTGTTAATTTTTCCTCAATTTCGTTTCAATGGCGAATCGTACAACTCGCGCCCAAATCGACGATGTTTCGAGTTCATATTTTTTGCATCCTTCTGATGGTCCCGGTCTTGTTCTTGTCTCGCAAGCTCTCTCTGAAGATAACTTTGCCTCCTGGAGTCGTGCGATGATTTTGTCTCTTACGGTGAAGAACAAGCTAGGTTTTGTGGATGGTTCCATTGTTGAACCCCCTGAAGATGATCCAATTCTTCATCATGCCTGGGTTCGCAACAATGGTATGGTTATGTCATGGATTTTAAATGCCATTTCTAAAGATATTCAAGCGAGTGTGATGTATTCTAAAACTGCTCGTGACATTTGGACTGATTTGAGTGTGCGATTTTCTCAAACTAATGGTCCCCGAATTTTTCAATTACGCCGTGAATTGGCCAATCTCCGGCAAGAGCAGTTCTCTGTCAATGTTTATTTTACGAAATTGAAGGCAATTTGGGATGAGTTGGTTAATTTTCGCCCAAATTGTACTTGTGGTTTGCTGGTTGATTACTATAATCAAGAGCAGGTTATGGCGTTTCTTATGGGCTTAAATGACTCGTTCTCTCAGACACGCGGGCAGATACTTCTTATGGATCCTCTACCGCCCATTAACAAAGTCTTTGCATTAGTTTCTCAAGAAGAGCGGCAGAGATCTGTTGGGCAGAGTTTTGAAGGGCATAGTTCTCTCTCCTTTGCTGTTAGAGGTGCTCCGGGTTCATACAATTCTAGGCCTTCTGCACCTGCTGGACCAGTTTCTCAGAATAATCAGTACTATCCTGCTGGAGACAAGAAGCATACCCGTGGTTTCTGCACTCATTGTAATAAGTATGGTCATACAATGGAGAAGTGCTACAAGATTCATGGTTTTCCACCGGGCTATCAGTCTTCTGGATTCAAGCCGAGACCAAGGATGGCTGCTCCTTCAGGTAGATTTGGTATTAATCAAGTTTCTGCTTCTAACTCTCCTCTTGATGTTCAGGCTGAAGCATCAGCTTCTTTGGAGAATTCTGCCATGACAGCAGCTCAGTGTCAGCAGATTTTGGCCTATGTATCTCAACAGATGGCTCAACAGTCTGGTTTAGTTCCATCTTCTTCTTCTTCTTCTGCAGTTCCAGCCCAGGATGATTCTTCTCATATTTCCTGTGTCACAGGTACAATTTATGCTAATGCTCTCTTGAATCCTATGCTTATGTCTTTTCATTGGGTTGTTGATTCAGGTGCTTCTAAGCACATTTGCAATAATAGATCTTTGTTTATGCATCTTATTCCTGCTCATAATACTAAGGTCATTTTGCCGGATAAATCATCATTGCATGTGGCTTTTGTAGGTGATGTTCAGCTAGCTCCAAAACTTTTTTTGCATAATGTTTTTTATGTTCCTGAGTTTCAATTCAATTTACTTTCTGTTAGTGCTCTTTTGTCTGAGCCTCATGAATTGGTCACTTTTGGTTTTCAATCATTTGTGATTCAGGACAAGCTGATGCAAGTGATTGGTATGGGTAAAAGATTACAAGGCTTGTATGTCTTGGAGCCTGTTTTGTCTGCTTCTTGTTCTTCTACTCAAATTTCTTGTAATAAAGTCTCAGTTTCTTCTCAAACTTGGCATAATAGGCTTGGTCATCTTCCATTTTCCAAACTTTCTATTTTGAAAGACTGTATTTCTTTACCACCTGTTTTAAGTTCATCATGTTGTCATGTTTGTTCTTTGGCCAAGTTTAAAAGGTTGCCATTCCCTGTAAGTTCTTCTCAGTCTATTGCTTCTTTTGATTTGATACATTGTGATATATGGGGTCCCTATAAAGTTGCTTCTTACGATGGTTTTAAATACTTTGTGACTATTGTGGATGATTTTTCCAAGTTCACTTGGATTTACTTATTGAGGAACAAGTCTGATGTTCTTACTATTATTCCTCAGTTTTTTGCTTGGGTTAAAACTCAGTTTGGCAAAAATATTAAAGTTTTCAGATCTGATAATGCTCATGAATTGTCTTTTAAATCTTTTTTTGCTCAACATGGTGTCATGCACCAATTTTCTTGTGTTCAAACACCTCAACAGAATTCAGTGGTTGAAAGGAAACATCAACATATTTTAAATGTTGCTCGAGCTTTATTTTTTCAGTCTAAGGTGCCCATTAAATTTTGGTCTGAGTGTGTTCTAACTGCTGTTTTTCTGATCAATAGAACTCCAGCTCAGAATCTGAGTAATTGTACTCCTTTTTCTCTATTATATCCCAATTCTTCTGTGCCTTATGATGCTTTTAAGGTGTTTGGCTGTTTAGCTGTTGCAGGGACTTTAGCTGCTGGTAGGACTAAGTTTGACCCCAGAGCAAGGCTCTGTGTTTTTCTTGGATATCCCCCAGGTATTAAAGGGTATAAGTTGTTAGATATGCAGTCTCAAGAGATTTTTATTTCCAGAGATGTTATTTTTCATGAACATATTTTTCCTTTTGACTCAGCTCAGTTTCATTCAGACAACAGTGATGTTGTATTGCCTTCTTTTGATCAACCTTCTTCTTCTATGTCTTATGAATTTTTTCCTCCAACTAATGACTCTTCTTCCCTTCCAGTTTCTGTTTCTTCTTCTCTTCCAGTTTCTGGTTCATCTCCTCCTTGTGTTAGGAAGTCTTCCAGGCATACAAAATTGCCTACCTACCTTTCTGATTTTCAAATTAATTCCAAGCTTCCTTCTACTTCCAAACATCCCATTTCTAATGTGCTTGATTATTCAAGTCTTTCTGATTCTTTTTTTGCCTACACTGCCAATATTTCTGCTGAAACAGAACCTTCTTCATACAAGCAAGCCATTCAAAACCCTTCCTGGCTTCAAGCTATGTCTGAAGAGATTCAGGCTCTTGAAACAAACAAAACCTGGCAAGTAGTTGCTTTGCCATCTGATAAGCATTCCATTAGCTGTAAATGGGTATACAAGCTAAAAAGGAAGCAAGATGGCACTATTGATAGGTATAAAGCTAGGCTAGTAGCAAGGGGTTTTACCCAACAAGAAGGGGTAGATTACACTGAAACTTTTTCTCCTGTTGCTAAACTTGTTTCTGTAAAGATTCTTTTAGCTTTAGCTGCCAAATTTCAGTGGGAACTTCATCAGTTGGATGTGAACAATGCTTTTCTTAATGGTGATTTACTGGAGGAAGTTTATATGGACCTGCCTCAGGGTTATGTATCAGAACTTCCTCACACTTCTGGCACTAAACTGGTATGTAGGCTACAAAAATCTTTGTATGGCCTCAAACAAGCTTCAAGACAATGGAATCAAAAATTTACAGATGCTATCACTGCCCTTGGTTTCACTCAATCTCTGTCTGATTATTCTCTCTTCACTCGAGGGTCAGGTACTTCTTTCTTAGCCCTCATTTTATATGTTGATGATATGATAATTGCTGGTCCTAATCCTGCTGAGATTGAGTCTGTTAAAGCACAGCTGCATCTGGTTTTCAAACTTAAAGACCTTGGTAAGATGAAATATTTTCTTGGCTTGGAAATTGCTAGAAACAATTCTGGCATTATTGTTTCTCAAAGACAATACACACTAAAGTTGCTTGAAGAGACAGGTTTTTTAGGTTCTAAACCAGTACTCCTTCCCATGGATCCTAAGGCAGCTCTTAATCAAGATGATGGTGATCTTCTTCCAGATTCTACAGTTTATAGAAGACTCATTGGAAAATTTCTCTACTTAACTATCACCAGACCAGACATTGCTTTTGCCACTCACAAGTTGAGTCAATTTGTGTCTAAGCCAAGGTCCACTCATCTTCAGGCTGCTCACCATTTGCTCAGATACCTCAAAGCTGCACCTGGACAAGGACTTTTCTATTCTTCTGATCCTTCAACCAAGGTCAAAGCATTTTCTGATGCTGATTGGGGCAGCTGTACAGATACTAGAAAGTCTACTTCAGGATTTTGTGTTTTTTTGGGTGATTCTCTGGTTTCTTGGAAAGCCAAGAAACAATCCACAGTTTCCAGATCCTCTGCTGAATCTGAATACCGAGCCTTAGCATCATTGTCAAGTGAATTGGTTTGGATCAATCAAATTCTTCAGGATTTTCAAGTTCCAGTTGCTTCTAACTTGGTCTTCTGTGACAATTTAGCTGCCGTTCATATTGCTTCCAATCCCACCTTTCACGAACGCACGAAGCACATTGAGATCGATTGCCATTTCATTCGCCAACAAGTTACTCGTGGCATTGTCAGACTTATGCCAGTGCCTAGTCGGGATCAAATTGCTGATATCTTTACCAAAGCACTGCCGTTTCCTCTTTTCTCTCATCTATTGTCCAAGATGGCCTTGAAGAACATCTATTCTCCAGTTCCATCTTGAGGGGGGGATGTTGGATTATTTTATATTTGCAGTCTTGAATTTATTATAACACAGATAAAAGTGTTATATGATATTAGCACTTTTGTTATTTAGTTTAGCTAATAGCGCTTTTACATTTTACACGTGTAAAATCGGGTATATATATACCAACTCTTTGTGACCGTTGTAATTAATTCATTTTTTAATAAAAATTAGTTTTCTTCTCTTCTCTCTCTCTAACAAACTTTCCCTCTCTCTCCCTTCTGCAACCATGGAGTTTTTCACCTCCATGTGAATTCTTTCAATCAACACTTAGGAATTTAGGTTGGTGGGAAAATATGGTAATGTAATTGAATTGGTCGTAATTAAAATAAATGATTTGATTTAGTTTCAATTTCGTCAATCGAATAAATATGTTACTGACTTCTATTATTTAATTTTATAGAACGATATCTGAATTGATTGCTAATACATACTACTAATTAAAATATAGAATCTAATAAAGTTGATATTATAATATTTTGCAATTCAATCAAATCTTAGGGTTGAAATGTAGTTTATCTTAATTTTGTTCCACTTGGACTGGATTTCAATTCTGTCAACGGATTAGGTGAGAATGGGGTGGGCCGGTTCGGTTCTTTTTCTTTTGGTAAATAAATATTATATTATTATATGAAGT